TTATTTTGTTGATGAAATGAAAATCATTCTACTTCTGCTTTTATTGCTCCGTTTTTTGTAATCTGCAGCTCAATTCCCACAAATTCATTAGCGTTTTGGAGGGGGGGAGGAGTGAACGGAAAAGTAAGTATGGGATTCGCTGCCCAACTCACAGCAGGGTGGAGGGGTGCAAACTTTCAGATAAGATTTTGAACCTGTCCATCATTTGCGCACTTGGACTTTGGAATGACAGTTTAATTGGGGGAGCAATCCAAGGGGTGGCCCCTATCAGACCGCTGGAGCAAAATTCTCCAAATAGCTGTGTCAAACGGAACGACGGCAATATGTCGAGGAGGTGGGCTGACTGGCGCGCTGACTGGCACGCTGACTGGCGCGCTGACTGGCACGCTGACTGGCACGCTGACTGGCACGCTGACTGGCACGCTGACTGGCACGCTGACTGGAAAAGGAGGAGCTGACGCGCAAACGGGACAGACAAATACTACGCTAACAAATAATTCTCCGTGGACAAGTTTCCCACCGTCCGTCTGCTGTTCGTCCTTCGTTTGCTGACCGAGGGTTGCGAGGTCGAGACAGAATGACAGACAGAGAGAGAGATAGAGACAAGAGGCCAGACAGACACACAGACCTAAGTTCCGGCCTCTAGCTATTGAAACGCGGTGACCTTCGGAGTCGCGCGCTCTGCAGGGGTACACTTTGCAAAACAAGTAGCTAAAGAGTCCTCACTTTAACACAATAATTCAAAGCGTGCAAAAACATTTATTACCACGCAAATAAAGGTGCATTATTGGGCACAATACACTGGAGAAACTGGAGTACAAAGCTGCTCTGAACTAAAGCTTAAGCTTCTGGGGGGGGGGGGGGGGCTGGCTCGTCCCCAGGCCGCACTGACCGCCCCGCTGACCCACCCCGCGCGGTGTGCGCACTTCACTTCGCCGAGCAATTAATTCCCACTTTTCGCGGCGCCATCTTCTCGACCCCGGCTGGTCGATCGATCGATGGAATAACGATCAATCGCCACGGATCCACGAGAGTAAAGTAGCTCGCACAAGCCGGTTGAAACAATGCCTACATTTTTGAGGAAAAGGGGAAAATTTTAGAGGAACTCCCATAGTTTGAGGAAAAGTCAAGAGATTTTTTAGGATACCCTGCGAAGTGCCCCGGTTATGCGACCCTTCAAATGGCGCCAGATCTGGGCGCTCCTCACAGCCGCTCTGATCCGGAAGCGGCGGGCACGTTTATCGCTGTGGCCGTGGAGCCATCACCAGGCCGTTACCGGAAGTCGCACCGGACATACCGGAAGGACCGGCCCGAAGTGTCGCGAGCGCCGCCCGCGCGCCGTCCTGAGCCGAACTCGTAAAATTTGCTTCCGGTAGCAGGGGTGTAAACGGGGCAGGGGGGTGAGGT